TCCCACCTGCTACGTTACCCTTCACATATCTATTACAGATTACAAGTATTTAAATCTTTCCCTGCAGCTTCATCACATACTTGGGAAGAGGAATAATATTCTCTTTTCTGGTCACCTTCCAAACACTGTGATGAGAGAAACTTTTTCCCTCCATCTACCTTTCCAACTCCTTGGAAGGAAGCAGAAAGGTTTATCCAATCCTTATTCCTATTTAAAAAACTTTCTAACATGTGGATCACTAAAGTATCTTTCAGTTAATAAAAGGGTCTGATTTGTAGGGCAAAGACATGACTGCCAACCACGATATTGAATGATGTTTTATTAGTCTGATAATCTTATTGTCATTTTAGGATCCCTGGGAGGACTCAGCAGCAATAAAGTTCAGCACAGAGGAGAAGAAAGAGGAATCAGTAGCAGCTGGATTGTGTTCGGGATTGTCCTTAAACAAGAGTACTTAAGGAATACTTAATACTTAGTTAAATTAAATTAATTACTTAATACTTAAAGAGTGTTTCTGCATTTTAAAATGACAGAAACGTCTTGCACTAGTGTGGTGGCATCATGCTGAGTCACCCAGTCACTCTTGGGTTGAGTCACTGTGGGCTAAGAGAAATACAGAATGGCCACTTCCAGTCATTTTTTTAGCCCCTTAAAAAAAAAAAAAAACAAACAGGTCCAGTTTGCAACAGCACATAAAAAGAGCAACAGTCTCATTCTACTCAACACCTCTGTGACATTTCCAAGCCTGCTCCAGTTGGTGGAACTTTGTTGATGTCCCACTATTACCTGGTTTTGGTGACTCAGACAGAATCCTACCAACCCTGGACCAAAACAGTAACAATCCAAACCAAAAGCAAGTTCCCGCTGCTCCCAAAAAATATTCCTAACACCACATCCATGAAGAACAATAGAAGGATTTCCTTCATCTCTTCCTTCCACTCTCAACCAGGAGCTCACAGGCATTTACAAGAACACATCATCTGTAGCTGCTGAATAAGAATTTTTTAACCTGCAGTGAAAGGTGGGGCTGTGTGTCTTTCAATTTCACATTCACAATCCTAGCCAATATTTCAAATAAATGTCACTCCATGCTCATGGCTCGATGGGCAAAGCTGTTGTATGGAATGACATACAGTGTTTTTTATAATTGTTATACTTTTCTAAAAGTTTTACTTCTCCTACACATCAGTTGTTTTTCTGAGTGCTTTAATATACTTACTAATTCTAGTTTTTTCTTTTAGAATACAAAGCATTAACTACCTCAGTGTTTAGATTAGAGACAAAAACTACCATGTTGCAGTTGATCTTGGCTTTAAGCTATGAAGCAGAAACTGCTGTCAAAAAGCAAACCCTAAATCATACCTACAAATAGTACTGTAAATGCCAAAGCCGCTAAAATTTTAGGTAAATTTTTAGGTTACACTTTATCTGCTACTGTAAGGAGGAAGCTTCTACTCTTATCACAACATTATTGTTCCTATCTTGGTAACGTACATTTTTCTTCAAATCTGGATGTCCAAACTTGATATAGCACTGCATCAAGGAGCTCTTGGTGAGTCCCCACCTGGGAAAGGTGATGGCAGTCCCTGGAGATAATACCAGCTTTAGGTGGCAGAAGGAGCTGCACTAAGCACAGCTGCAGATGTTGTTGATTTTCCCAAGTGAATTGTAGCTGTCAAAGGACTGAAAATCAGCATTACACTGTGTTAGTTCATTCTGCTCATAGCTAGTGTATCACAAAATGCAAACCGATTTATATAAATCACCCTCAATTTCACACTCCACAGATACCAGGACCGATAACCCTCCATTTGTATTTTGAGACAAACAGAGAGGCTCATCTGAAAATTTATTTATCTCATGTTAATTTCCATATTCTAATTTCTTGAATAAAACATTGTGCAACATTATATTTTATGTAAGTCACTCTACTACTTCACTAGTTGACCAGACAGCTGGGAATCTCATCACCGATAACATGAGTACCAACTTTCTTCTCCTTGTTTCTTCCCCTTTACAAAGACTGCAATTAATCATTCTTACACTTTTTCTTAATATTTTTCTTCAGTGGGTCCTGTTCTAGTATTTGGATCAGATCAACACCAGACTAATAATTTAATTTTATTGTAAAAAAATGCAATTTAATTTTCTTATAGTATATATCAGTAGGGTTTTTTTCCAAATCCACTGGAATGCCTTCAGTGCCCCAAAAATTAAGGAAGGAAAAGAATTATTGGTGGTTAAGCAAAATCTTCAGAGTTTTAAACTCTGCAGTTCAACATATCCTGAGAAAGTGACTGATTTTACAATATCTGTGTTTCACAGCTTCTGTTTCCCATCCTTCTTAGCTGATAGAACAGAACCATGGTTATGATGAAACTACCTCTATTTTTTACTTCTAAACACAAACCAAATCACCTGCTGAACACCACTGTTGGGGATTGTGAGTCATCTGAGAGTGAGAACAAGTCATCTTACAAGGAATGGAAAGCAGCATTTGCGGAGAAAGATCAGCTGGATGAGTCAAAACCTGGGAAATCGCCACCTGGGACTTTAATACTGTGATTTATGTTAAGTGAGATAAACCTACATGTAGGTTTGTTCTCCACCTTATGTTCCTTTTTCATGGACTTCTTGCCAAGCAGGCATAGCAACAGTTTTCCCTTTGGTTGAACTGCCGTGAGGTAACAACCAATCAAAGTGTTTGGCGGGCTCCAGCCCAAAGCCACTCCCCAGTTACCACCCTGTTCAACCCCTTCATGATTATGTATAACCTGTTACCCTGTTATTGTAAGAGGATTTGCATGCTCCTCCCTTCCTCCACCCAAGTTCTCGTCCCTTCCATCCCAAATCCTATTTAAACCCTCCATTTTCTTAATAAAGTTGGATCAGCCCTGGCTGTTGCTTGCACTGCACCTGTGTCTTACCTCCTCCTTACGTAGTGAGATACGGTGTGCTTGCTGCGCAGCCTGTTGCACTCTCTAGTTTAGATCACAAGGGAGCAACGAACCCTCAGCTGGTCAGCTCCCCTCCCTGACAAACTGCGACACACCACTGCCTTTTCAATTCCCAGTGAATTTTCTGGACATGTCTTCACTTCCCTCCAAAGAAGTTATTTAATTATGATCTCCTCCTTGATTGTGGGTTTCACCAATATTTACTAAAATGAACTCAAAGATCTTTTAATTCTTACTGACTCCTGCATTCCACACAATGAAAATCCAAGTCCAAAAGGAAAAGCAATTTAATATTTGACTAAGAGATAGGAAAACCAAGGTAATCAGAAAAAAATCCAAGTATTATCCGTATTATCTTTTATGTCTTACAGTCCTTGATATTTCACGTATCTATAAGCTTCATTCATCCACTCATTCTATTCATTTCTGAAAAGCTGTTTTCTCCATGGAGACATGGTCTGCCTTCTTTCTGCATGTGAAAATCCTAGGCCAGACTTCAGATACTCAGCACATATCTGTGCTTTTCTATTGCTCATTGAAAGAGAAAGCTGTGCACACAGGGGAAGCATCACCTGACCTAAGTGATACTCACTGGGCAGGTGCAACAATGCCATTACCTTGAAAAACTTTGACTGAGTTACCCAAAGGATTAGGTTTACAGTCTTCATATTATTTGCAAATTTTGCAACTGGAAGAGCTTTACAGTCAGGACCAAAATACTGAGTATTGCAGCCCTCAGAGGCAAAAGAAAACACATCTTTGTTTACAACTCAAAATAAGAACACAGTTGCTGTATTTTCCTATTACACTGATCAGTCCATGATTGGCTGAGCAGGGCAGTGGGGGCTGTTTTCATTTTTAAATGAATGTATATAAAAAATCACTCACTGAACTAGTTAAGTCCCACTGAAACTTGAAAAAGACTCAACACTCTCCACTCTTCCTTGCCTTTTCACAAAATAAAATATTTCTCACCTTGTCATCTGAATTGACCAACCAGCATTTGAAAGCAAAAATTTCAGAAGAGCACAGAACAACAATAAATGATCTCTTTCCATTATTTCAATTTTCTCCATTTGCCTGAAAGCTCTGCTTAATTGATATTACCCCAGAAAGCCCCCAACAAACAGGCTCATAGGAGTGACAAAGCTGTTTGTCACTGGTATCAGGGTCTTGGACACTCCTAGTTCCCAGGTATGCACAGAAAACTGGTGGTTTACAAGAACACAGTGTTGTCTTGATGACCTTTACCTAAGGTGGAAATAAAAAGCTTCAGTGAGAGAACCCACAGAAAACTTCACAGACCTGAAGGGAAGATTTTATATATATATACATACACATACATATACATACACATATAACCATATAGCAACTATCAATGCAGTTGTGAAACTTATTTGTGCTGTATATTCCTACTAGTTTGTCAAACACTTGTCAAAATTCTGGTTCACAGTTAAATATCTGGTATTGTAGGATGGGCCATGGCTGTATCCCACACACTTTACAAGATTCTAGTCCTGGAAAGATTTGTCAAATTAAGTTTCACAAGCATCTTCAGAAGGCCAAAAATTCACTGACAAATTAAAGTGAATTCTGCTATAAATACATTTCTATTCCATTTATGCACACAGCTCTTTTTATAGCTGTTAAACCTCCTCTCTTTCCATCTTTTTAAGCACTATTAAAACTGTCAGGAACTACATTTTACACTTTATCAATCACTGCGCACACATCATGATTCCCAGAATTTCAAATGGAACTGTTGATGGTTGAGGTACTGTCAGACTGTCATTAGTTTTGCAAAGTGTGCAATTTGTCATTTTGGAAGAAGTGACAGTGCCTTCACTTGCGCAACATGCTTTTAAACCTCCTCTCTCTAATTTGAAAATGGCAGTATTATCCTCTGCTTCAAGAGAGATATTTTTAAGGCTTGCAGGTTTCTTATCACAGAGCAATCTGTCAGGTAGTATTTTGCCTTCCTTAAGGTTTATTCATATAAAGCCTGTCTGTGATATCACACAAAGACAATACTTTATGTCTTACCTGATGGTAACGAGGCCCGTGTTAAACCTTCACTTTCCTCATCAGTACTGGCATCATAATCATTTTCCTTCTTTATAACCATCTGAGTAGTAGTTATACTATCCCTAGAAAACATAAAAAATTTAAAAAAAAATAGATATTTTTGTTTCCCAAAGGAATCAAACAATTCAGAGAGAATGTATATGACAGTTACCACATTTATGAATGGAAAATCAGCTGCAGTCCCACAGAAAACAGGACAGATTCACTGGATGTTTAGTTCTTGGCTACAGCACCCAGAGCAATATGCTGCTATATGCAGAAGTGCCAGGAAGAATCCTCCTCTCCCACGACTAACAGCATTGTTATGGATAACCCAGCTCTCAGACAGGAAGAACTGTCACTCCCTGTTAGGGCCAAAGGAATGCAAAGTAAACTAAAATAAAATATGCACCAGGTAAGATACCAAGAAAGCCAAGAAAATTAAGGAATACCTGGTACATTTGGCATCTGCTGCAGATTCTTTGGCTTCATTCAGCAACTTCTGTAAGTTTCTTATCTTTGCCTTCTTCTCATTCAGCACCAGAATAAACCGGTTATAAAGATCTGCCTCCAGCTTCTCTTTAGCCTCCACACATTTTTCCAGCCTGCAATGTAAAATTAACTGTTACGCTAATTGTTCTTAAAATAATTGGCTGTTTCCTGGAAGAAAATTCTGTAGTGAGGCCAGACTTCCTCTTACAAGAATCCCCATTCCAAACCACGCAGGACCAGTCCAGCACCTTGTGTCTGAAACAGGCTAAAAGCAGCTTTTCCCCCCTCAGAAAAGTGAAATGAACTTTGCTACCAAAATAGGAAGGTTTCCAAATGTGAACATTTGTCTTCATGCATTTTTTTGGATGGGTTCCTGCACAACTCCAACTAAAATTTAAATAGGCAAGTGCTCTTTATTTTCAATATTGAATCATCTCAGTTGGCATACCTTAGCGGGATACACATAATGAGATTAGAAATATATATCTGATTAGCTTGACAGGTCTCAAGTCTGGACTACACACTCTGATGTGAAATATATTTGAAGGGCTGGGGGGAACCCCAAACATAAAAATGTTTAAAAGCTCTTCATTAGTATCTTCAGAGTAAAATATTCTTCAGGTTTTTTAAGAAGTTTAATATGCCCCTGTGAATAGGTCAATGTCAATAAAGTGAAAGCACAATGGAAATATAAAATTAAGAATATCTCATAAGCAAAGCAAAACTGGAATACAAGCAAACATGAGCCCAAGAAATTACTTGTAGCAAATGCAATTCTATATTTACTTCTATATTTTATAATATATTTTAGTCCTTGGGTTGAACCACAAACATTTTTTTAGCTGTGTACACAACAAGAAAATAAACATCTTGATAATTTTGCTGATCATGGTAAATATACCAAATAGTCAAACTTGTAAACATTCTTTTCACCAACCTGCGCAAGGCTGGTAAGAAAAGCTTAGGAGGCTTATTTTGTTATTAAACCCAACAACGTAACAGATTTAAAGAGTACTCATTTATAAAGTAAGATATTTCAACAGACTTCCTATATAAATACTAATCATTTTGTTCACAGATCAAAACCATACAGGATGTAAGAAGAAAGACAATAGCAAAAAAAAATTAAATCTAACGAAGTATTAAGTCTACTGTACAATCCCTAAGGGATATGCTTGATAGTTGATAAATAATTCATCTAATTTAAATGCAAATAGCGGAACATCATTACCATATGGATCCGTTCAATAATGCCTAAATGAAAGATCATATGTACTAATCAACTACCAGGAGACTTTCCCCCTACAAAAGGGAAGTTAACTGTTTAGTAGGGAACAAATAGACAACTCACAAAGAATCATAAACCCAATAAAGGGCCCAGAAGAGCCTGGACATGCTCAACACTAATTGTGCCTGTATACATGAAAATCGGGTGAAAAAGAGCATTTTTTCTTAATATGCTAATCCTCTCCGTATCAAATCCTATAGAACAGTCCCCTCTCCCACAGAAACCAGGGAAAGTGGTTACTGCTGTGCCTCTATTTTGCCAAGCCACTGGTTTGTGTTGGAGCATTTGGGGTTGGTTCAAACAGTTACATTGAAAAATTTTGCTCACTTGGCCAAAAAAAGTGCCATATGAAGATAATTTCAGTGAGGCCCTTGAATCCTGCAAAGACATCCAACAATGAAAATCCACGTAACTGGAAACTTCCAGTGAAGTAAAGCTGATGCTGCCTGGACTGTAAGTAATATAGTACTGGAACCCATTGCAATTCTAGACAATTTCTTTAGTCTATGGAGCAAAAAATTAGCATCTTGAAACATATATACCAACTGTATGCATAGATTAGAATATTAACTCTTCCCTGTGGGCAAAATTTATTAGTAGTATGTCATCAGTTAATCTTATATGATTGTTTTCATTTACAGGAATAACATTTTTTATTTTTCTCTTGTGAAAGTTAGGCACATACAAACACATTCACCAGACACAGGTATGACATTAATTTGGCACAGCATACGATCAGTGTAAATCAGTATTACAGTAATGCTGTATTTGCAAGTTATGAGCCTTTAAAATATACTATTATATGGCATATCTGGTACTTGAAAACTGAGCAGTAAAAAAGCAACAATCCTCTGCCGCTCGGGAGCAGGGATGCACTAATGATGTAGGTGGGGTGGCTCTGTGGAGCCATTAGGATTCACTGAATCACCTGAATTACATGACCACCAAGCAGAGCTATCCGGGTTTTATTCCATTACCTCACAAATTACAAATACAAAATTTAAGTGTAATTCACTATATGCTGCTGCCTGTGTGTGATTTGTCTCCCTGAAATACCATCTCCCCAGGCCAAAGAAAGGAGCTGCTCATCTCAAAGACAACTTTTGAGCATGGTAAAATAAATGGATGTTAATGGCTGGAGTGGTGCTTTCCAATTTGTGCATCCTCCGATCTCTCTGCTGTGTGAGCACAAAGCTTTTAATATGCCAAAAGCACTCAGGTTGACAGGCATCAAGAGGCTTGCACAGCCCAGTGAAACCAGGCCCTGTGACAAATAATAAATTGAGGAAAACCAAGCTCTTTTAAGTGCTGCCTCAACGCAGAGCAATCCCACACAATTCAGAGAGGTCAACACAAACTGTGTAACTTACTGGCACTTTTTTAATTATTAGTGGCATTGTCCACAATCCAACACTAAGAAAAAAAGAATTCAATGTCTCTGCTATTCACCCTTGTTCTCAGGGCTCTAAAATAATTCCTGGATCTCATGGCACTGCTCCATTGCATTTCAGAGTCACCCTTCCCACAACACTGGCAATGGTATGGAATCCTGATGAGCTAATGCTGAAGAGTCAGTTTCAAGCACCAAAGTACCTAGCTTGCATTTTTATAAGCTATTTGTGGTTTAAACATACTGTCATTGTAGTTGACCACAACATAAATAAGAGTTATTTTGAATTTGGCTTGTCTATACCAATTTTAGATGTTTGAACAAAAAATACATACCATGCCTGAATCAGAAATTTAATTGTTATTGTTCAACGGATTATTTTGCTACAGATTATTACAATTAAAATTTATCACCACAATTATTACAGAACCGCAGACTGGTCCCCTGTCCACCCTGGCCTTGAACTGTCTATATGAAATATAAACAACAGCTATTTTGCTCTGATATTTTAACTCATCTATATCCCTGAGGTAACCATGCACACATACACCCCAGGCACCCGCTTGCTCACAAAACCTCTGTGATGGTCAAAAAAATCAGAGCAGGGAAATGGAAATGGGATGCTAGAATTTCTCCATCCAGTGCCCCATGCTCAACCAAGATAAAACCAGCCCTCAGAAGTCTGCCTGCTATGTTTTAATTCTAATGAAGTCCTAAGGAAAGAGACTTTGAGCACAGGGAACTGCAGTGCCTGAGGCTGTGGAGTTGATATGCCTGAGCTCCAGGCGAGGCGGGAGCACAATTCTCCACACCACGTGCTTTACATTTGATGTTTTACCACTCAACACTGTGAGTGTAAATCCTGAAATCCAGCCTGCTGAACAAAGACAGGCAGAGCTTTGTTCAGCTCCAAGAAACTGGGTCCTGCTTTTGGAGCCAAAAGAGCAGAGACAACAGGGTAGACTGGGCTGTGGCAAAAAGAATTTAAAAAATGCAACACAACCAAACCAAAGAAAAACCCCAAACAACAAAAAAAACCCACGAACAACACTGTTTGGGTGAAAATTATTTTTAATTTTTTTTTCTGCATTTATTAGACATGGCCAAAGACCGGTGACTGTAAAACCTTTAGAGTTTATTTTGAAAAACCATGTTTCATCTATTCAAACTATAAACACGCCAAAGAAATCTATCAGCTTTCACAGCTTCTCAGAGCAAAGTATTTCAGGCAACTGTGATTTTTTTTTTCTTTTTTTTTCTGCCTTTTCTTTGGGGTTACTCTGTAAAAGTGCCACCCCACCATGGAAATTGATACAAGCACTAATGCCTCTTACACATCAGCATGTAATGCAGTGCAGAACACTGGTTATACAATACACTATTGTTCAATTACACTGTTAAGCAGTAAAACACTACTTAGGGAGGCCCTATGCCTGTCATGGAGACTGTCAGGAGAAATTGTTACTCTTTTTAATGAGAGGCAAACAAAACTTTAAGTCTCTTTTTCAAGGTAAATTAATTCCAATTAGCTACATTCTTTCATCAATCTTCCTAAATGTGGGGGTTTTTTTAAGTAAAGCTATAGAAAAACAAGATAAATCTTGACTTCTCTGTGCTAAGAGTTTTATGCTGAAACAAGCATAGATTCCTTCATTACAGAGTGATAGAAAATTCAGATAATAAAAGCAACAGCAATTATAAAAATCTCTTGCAAAATTCTGGCATTTTTTCCCATAATATTCCACATACCACCATAATATCACCAACACTGGCTGCTTCCACAAGGCAAACAGATTGAAGCAATGGCAACTTATTTCCCACTCAAAAATGTAAATAATTTAAACGGCTAGTGAAATAGTTAATAAAGATAAAGATAAATAATTTGCTAATCAAATTATCTTTGCAATGTTAGTATTAGTGGTTAGTTTGAATTACGAATGTCAAACCACAATGTTATGTTACTATGGAAAGCTATATCTTACTATGTTAAACAAGTTCTGACTGTAAGCTTTAAATGAACCTATAAAGATATGGATAAAGGGGCATAGTCGAGCGGTACAACCCCCGGCACAGGCTGTTGCAGCCGAGCCAGGAGCGGCGGAGCAGCCGTGGCAGCAAACTGCCCGAGGGAGGAGCCGGCCCGAGGGAGGAGCCACTCGCCCCGTTCCGAGAGCAGCCGCTGCCATCTGAGGACCACCTCCATCTGGGACCTGCCACCCGGCATCCAGGCGCCGCCTAAAGGGGAGGGAATAGCGGCACATATAAAAGATCATGGCACGTTTTTGGCGGGAAGACCGATGGCGGAACAGGAGTTTCCCCGGGTCTTCCAGCGCGCTGTTTTGCTTATTTGCCTTCAATAAATTTCTACAATATATTTAAAAGAAAAAATTTATATCTGGTCATTTGACTATAACAGCTAGTGCTAAGAATTATTAAAAAATAACATTAAGGAAAATGTTTTCTAACAAAAGTGAAGAGGATTCAATAGAAATTGTTTGTTTTAATTCATAAAGCTAAAACCAACTTTAAATGCAAATTTGTAATATTAGTTGTATCCTTGACAAAGATGATTTACAACTACATGCGCTGGGGACAATCGAGCTTGAAACACCCGCCAAATGAATAAAAACTTGTGTTCACCTGTTGGTGAGTTTCTCAAGTGTCACCTGAGAAACCCCTGTGAAACTCACCTCCTCTCTGCGTCACTCCAGTTGCTGAAAAGCCTTTCATTTTCTCTCTGCAGGTGCTCATTTTTGGCCTGCAGTTTTCCCAGGCTGTCCAGGCAGTAACCAATGAGCTCCTTCACCACCTCATCCGGATTCGGGACCTCCTGCAGCCTTACAGAGCCAAGTCTGAACTAGGACACAAGGACAGAGCGAGTTATCTCAACTGCACAGGAAGGATCACAAAACTTTGCTCCAATAAATTTTAATACATTACAGTCACTTTGTCATACAGAGAACTGAGAAATGTGGAATAATCTACAACCTCCCTGATGAACAGAGACTGCGAGAGCTGGGCCTGGTTAGTCTGGAGAGGAGAAGACTGGGAGGGGATCCCATCCATCCACACAAATATACCCAAGGAATGTCAGAGGATGGTCCCAGACTCTGTTCAGTGATGCCTAGGGACAGACCAAGGAAAAAAGGCCACAAACTCAAACACATCAAGTTCCCCCTCAACATGAGGCAGAACTTCTTTCCATGGAGGTGGGCAGAGCCTGGAACAGCTGCGCAGGGAGGGTGTGGAGTCTCCCTGTCTGGAAACATTCCAAACCCACCTGAACACGTTCTTGTGTTAACCGCTCCAGGTGATCATGACTGGGAAGGGGGTTGGACTGGATAATCTCCGGAGGTCCCTTCCAGCCCCAAATATCCTGGCATTCTGTAGTTTATGCAGCTAATATCTAAAATCTAATCAGCAAGTTGTCACCTCCAGGGTTCAGACAGCAAGTTCTTAACAATAAAAGGAGTCCTTCAATTAAATAGGTAGCCTTGTTATTTCAGTGAGACTAAAGGACAGGATCTATAATGAACTGTTGTATTTCTTCAGCAGTAGGGATGTCGTTCAGGGTACACAAGAGGTCTGAACAGATTTATTCTGCCATGTCTGGGAGAAAGAACAGAAAACTGTTGGTTTTGTTATGTTTTTTTATGGCTCAGCCATACATACAAACCAGTACCAGCTGAACTATAAGTGTGCAAAGCTGGGAGAAGATACACAAATACCCAACACGGCAGTTTGGGGCAATGGAAGAAGGATATTGAGGCTGCTTGAAGAGGTCACACATGTTATCTGAAGAAAAGCAAATCAGAAATGAAGGGCCTGGCTTTGGTGCTCTGGAGTGGGCAGAGAATGGGGAATCTGAGCTACCTCAAGGTACACTTCTGCAACTGATAAAGCCTACACAACACTCATGGGGCTTTCTGAGCCTCTCCACATCCAGGAGCACCACTGTCTGACTTGGCAGAAAACTTGGCAGAAACCAGCTCCTGAGAAATGCAGAGTGGGCTGGATGACACAACCCAGATTTTGGCCAGCTCTAAACCACAATACAAGCAGATCTTTCAGAAAAAAAGGCATTTAAATTACTTGGCCTCTGTTGGAAATGCCTGCAGAAACATTAAGTTGGTGAGGGATACATGGAAGGGATCCTTTCCTGCATCTTGTAATTATCAAAAAGACCAACATAAATAAATATTTTTCAAAAGTGTTGCAATTCCCTATTAATAGAATTATTGCTCATCTTTTCAACTTGAATACACAGCAATAACATCTTAAAATGTATAAAAATGTAAGTGGTACATGCTAGGGAAGAGTTCAACCTGTATTGTGGCTTCTCACCTATTAAAATCAGAAATGCCATTTCATTCCTTTTTCACCTCTTTTTACTTGGGAAGGCAGGGAAAATAACTAAAAAAAGACATCATTAAAAAAAAAAAGTGTATTGTTTGTTAACACTTTTTTAAGATCAAATTTCACTAACACAAAGTTTTGCTGAAAAAGGCCTGGTAATAGAACTGCACACAAAGAGTTCAAAGGCATTGTTTGAAACAAGTGACAGTCCTTCAAGTTGGATCTTTTATCTGTGGAAGTCTCTGCCAACAACACGTGATACCATCATGACCTTCTCCAGCAAGGTCAGTCAGTCTATCAGAAAATGTGACAAACCCAAAGGTTTAATTTCCAATTAACCACATATTGTTCCTGAAAACTCACATGTGCTGTCTCTAACATGTTGTTGTCTTTAGCTGACATACATCTGATGGCTGCAGATGAAAAGATGCTTTCAGTTTATTTTTGGGAATTAGATTACATTATCAGTGACCCGCAGATTGGCGTGTATCCCCTGAATCACACTTGCTGTCTGACAGCATTAACAAAGGTGGACATTTGCGTAAAGGAAACTGTTTTTCATCACTTGCAAGCCACCACCATGCTATTAGGATAAAGACTTCACAGCACACTTGAATACTGCCCACAGAAACAGAGAGGCACAGTAGCACAGATAAAACAGCAACACAATCTCCTACTTGTACTGTGAAAGAAATAGCAAGGAGAGTATATCACTTTTGTCTTACGCTTTAATATAATCAACTGAGACAAGGTATTAAACAAATGCATTTTATCAGGACAAATAATCACATTTTTGTCTGCACAAAATAACAAAATATGTATAATCCTAAAAAACAGGTTAAAGTGAGTAGCAATAGATTTCAGCTGAAAGCTTGGTACCACTGCCAACCAATATCACACCAAACAAAAATCAGACATTTCAAAAGCAATTGTAATTATAAATAAACCAGAGACACAGAATATTTTGGTTGCCCATCTTCCTAGCTGTCCAAATCCAACACAAAACAGTCTTTAGTTTAGGCCTTAATTCAGTCTTTATGCAAAGCAACTGACTATTGTCTGCTTTCTCACAATAAGCTTCATTGTTCTGATTTCTATGTCTAAGACACTGCGTGGACCGTTTCTAGGAGGGCCACAAAAGGTGAGCAAAGTAAGTCCATCACTAGGAAGCTTAAGTTTATTATGCAGGAGCTCAAAAATCAAATAAAAATTAAAAAGACCCATGAGGTTTCTGCAAAATGAAACAAATGTTCTCCTGTGTCTTCCCTCCTGAATTTGACACAGACATGGAAATTGCAGCACTGGTAGAGACAAAATTCAACTAAAAAAGTTCAACAAAAATTTTACAAATTAAGTGTTGAGGGAGGAATTAAAAAGTCATTAAAAAGTGATGCATTAATTCTCCTACATATTGCTTAGTTTTTCTTTGCATCTAAACCAAGAAACAGCCTAATTATTTGTCCTTCATCACCAAAACCACAGTATTGACACTGAAAACAATTCTAGGAAGATTCAGTAGAAGTGGCTGAAGATCAGGATACCATAGCAAAGAGTTAACTGGGTGGGATATCAAGGTAAACAGACCTTGCTTACTTCAGGAGTGAAAGAAAACATCATTAACACTTTACTGAGCTAATCTGACACATAAGGTATCTTTGGTTTGGATCATGTTTCCCTGGTGATTTTGTAAATTTGTAATGGTAAATTTTAAATTTTTGTTAGTCTTGTAATTCCTGCACGTTGCTGCTCCCCAGATCAATTTGAATTTCTCACCATTCTTACAGCTTCCTGGCTCTGTATCATCTGCAGATGTAACTAATGTGCTTTCTGCTTCCTCTTTCAGATCATTCAAGAAAACATTATGTAAAACACTGAAGCACTAAACACTTCATTTATACAGAGAAGGAGCAGCTCTGTTAGAGGTCCCAGGGGACAACACACTGACTGTGACTGACACACTGCTCCCCTTCAGTATCTGTTTTATTGTTTGTGGTGATTTTTTTAAATTGTTACTTTTTTAAAGACACACAAAGATGAACGGAGAGCCACTTAGAATATTGTGTTCCAATAATCAAAAATCACAGTCAACATGTATCACTGGACTATATTTTAAGCTTAAGAAATAAAAACAAGAATTAGAAGCTTATGACAAAAATGTCATTTTCCTGTCACCTCTCACCCTGCCCACTGTTTGTCTTCTACAGATGAAGAAAGAAGTGACCTCAACCATAAGACACAAAATATTTCAGAAGGAAGTGAAAAGCTTCTTTAGTAATTTTTCTTCTACTTACTTATGCTTACAGGAACATGTGCTTCACACAGGAAAATAAAAGTTATTCAAATATGAGACAACACGTTTTTAACAGAAACCTCCAAAGCTGCATGAAAATGACTTAATTCCAAAGAGACATTAAAATTTAATTTTGAATTAAATATTATGTGTCTGCTATATAATCTTTGCATTACTACATTGCACTAAAAATGAGAGTTATCATACCCATAGCAAAAATCACCAGAGGTTATACACTGAAAGGAGGAGCCATTCACATAGCAATGCCTGCACACTCTCTCTTCTGAGGTAGAATCTGAAGCTAAATACTAACAGTGAGCTAATTTCCAATAACAACAATTTTTCATTGTGACAGACTAGTCTAGAAGAAAAAAAAATCATGCTGGGAACTCTCATTTCATGTGCTTTGCTGCTCGTGATTTCTCTCTGTATTATTTAAGTATCCCAACAATCCTTTCTAACAGTGCTTTTTAATCCAAAACATATTTAAGGGATTCTACACCTCCATAAGATAGAGAAAATATTCAAACAGATTTTGTCATTTCTTTTCCTGAAAGAATACAGTGTTTGTGTATATGTATATATCTATCTAGACACATATATATGTGTGTGTTTATATATATATATAAACACACATATATATACGCTGTGTGAGTGTGTGTGTGTGTGTGTCTTCTACTAAATGCTAACCTATAATATTTCACTTTTTCTTTCTCTGTTTTGAAAATTAATTAACAACTAATTTTTAGAGAGATCACACAGGTACTTAGGTCTGATTTTGAAATGAAAATATTCCTAATGTATGAACTAACTGATGGAGCTCTAATTGTAAAAGTCAACCTACAGTCTGTAACAGAATCACCTCTAACTCACTTCACTCAACTTCATTTTCCTGCCCCTGAACAGGACTCAGAGATCCCTGTGCTTTGTTTCCAAGATCCCTGTGCTTTGTTTCCAAGACGGTATTTCAAGCTGTATTAGCACACTTTGGAACACCTACTTCCTTGCAGACAGATGCTGCCTCCTGCAAGGAATTGCCTAAGCAATATTCTTTCACCAGGGAAATATTAAAGGAGAATTTAAGAGGAAAACAAAAACTCCAGAGCAGCCCACCAGCCTGGAGCAGCTGTGTCATCCCTGCCTGGCTCTGTGGGGACCTGCAGTTTGTAAAAGCAGCTGTGGCCCCTGCAATGAAGCAGGAAAACCCTGCA